TCTTTCAACTTCGCTTGGCTTGACTGGCATGGTTTTAGAGCATGCCTCAAGCGATTGAGGTGAAGATTTTAAGTTGACGGAGCCGGAAGTGACGTATTCTTCCGGGATTTCGTCTTCTTTGTCTTCTTGGGCCTCTTCTTCAGTGCGGTCTTCTTAGGTTTGTTGGCGTGAAGATTGGCCGGTGTAGATGATGGTGCGCCTCCTTACCTTAAGTGGTCCTTTTGTATCGACTTCCAAAGTTGCTTGGCGCTTCATCCTTGAAGGAATCAAGCTTTAAACATCGTCTTTTCCTGCTAGACTGTCGAGCTTTTCTCCCTTTGGCGTTGTCTTCCTGTTTCTAGAAGGCTTTTTAGTTTCTTCAAGTTTGTCCGCAGCCGACTGTTGCGGGGGAGATCTAGTTGTGCCGCTTTGTTTCTTGGGTTTTGATAACCTTTCAAAGACAGATCTTTGCGGTGTTGGCGTCTTAAGCCTTTTGAAGACGGAAGTTCGGTCTCGACCACTGATGCAATCAAGTGCCGAAATTCTAGGTTTTGAATGATTCAGCCTGTAGAAGACTAAAGTTCGAGGGACGGGTTTAGGCTCCTCTTTTGGCCTTGTGGCTTGTGGTCTTGGCTTCCTTGTTTTTTTGTAGGTCGCCGATGTCCACCTTTCCTTATTACTGGTAGATGCATCTTGGTTGCTTGCCCCCGATGATGGTTGTGTAGGAAGTGCTGTGTGACTTGAACATTGACGGGAATGGTCATGCGTGCTTCGGAGAGGCACATGATCGAGTGATCCAAACACGATAGTAGTAGTGTGTGCCGCAACCGTGTTTTCGAGGTCAAGCTCAATTTTCCCTTGTTGTGCTAGCTTCAGGATGAGATCTTTCAGTACGAAGCATTTTTTCGTTTGATGACTGATGAAGAGGTGGAATTTACAGTACCTTGGACTGTCGGTGGGATTCATCTCTTCTGGCTGTCTGCATTCAGGCAAACCGATCACCTTCTTTTCCAGCAAGTCTTCTAACATGGCAACCACATCAGAGTCGGGGAATGGATAAGTCTTCTCCTCAAGCTCCTTCAAAGTGCGTCTACGCATCTTTTAATCACGAAAAGCTTCGGCTTGAATCGCCTTACCTCGTGTAGGGATTTTGACGGGAGCTGTGTTGACCGTCATTGCTTCCTTGGTGGATTTCCACGCAGCCTTCTCCACCTTTGTCTCAAGAACTTTGTCGTTCTTGTAGTCGGCGATCGGTTCCTTCTTCCCATGATGGGCGATGCTCAACTCCATGTCATGGGCGCGGGTGGCTAGCTCTTCGAATGTCCGTGGTTTGATGCCTTGAAGGATGTATTGCAAACCCCATTGCATACCTTGGACGCACATCTCGATTGAAGAGGTATCCAAGAGCCTATCTTAGAGTGCGCCATCTGTTGATGTAGTCAATGACCGGCTCATCTTTCCATTGCTTCGTACTTGTGAGCTCCAGCATGCTTACAGTGCGGCGGGTGCTGTAGAAGTGGTTAAGGAATTCTCTTTCCAATTGCTCCCAATTGTTGATGGACTCAGGCTCTAGGTTCGTGTACCACTCAAAGGCGTTTCCTTTCAGCGAGCGCACAAACTACTTGGCGAGGTAGTCTCCCTCTGTCCCCACGTTGTTGCAAGTTTCGACGAAATGTGCAACGTGCTGCTTTGGGTTTCCTTTTCCATCAAACTGTATGAACTTTGGTGGTTGATATCCCCTCGACATCTTCAGGGCATCAATCTTCTTTGAATAAGGCTTTGAATACAACCCGGAGGTATTTGAGCTCCCTTCGTACTGTGCCTTGACGGTGCTGGCGATCATCTTTTGCAACTGCTGGATAGAAATAGATCCCATGAGTGCCGCTGCTTGGTCTGGCTCCGGCTTTATATTGATTTTCTCCACCTGAGGCTCCTCTTCTTCGCCATCTCCTCTCTTTAGTGGATCATCCTCTGGGTCGGGGTTCTCACCGTTCTGTGGCTCCAGTCGGTTGACGAGTGCAGCGATTTGCAAGTCTTTTTCTTCAACAATCCGTGTTAGCCTTGCGATCGTTTCATTCATTTGAGCTAGTTGTTCTTCGATGGAGGTAATGTCGATGGTCATGACTTGTGCAACCAATAGACGTGACTTTCCTTTAGACATCCAGGATGCTGACGAAGAATGTCGTTGGCTGTTTTGGGATGTCATCTTGTGTGCCTCAGCAGCATGCTTCGGTGCCCCCAGCGAGGTCAGGTTGATGACAGACTCGCACCTTTGATGCTTCCCTTGCTCTTTTAGCGGCACCAATTTTGAAGTGGCATGTTGAGGAGCGGTTGTGGCGCCAATGGATTGTCTGTTTGCGGCAAAAATGCTTAGGATCGTTCCCTCAGTGGTTGCGAGAACGGCTTGTCCCTTGCTTGATGCCATTGAATTTGAGGTGTGTTTGAATTTCTTGAACGGAGAAAGAGATGAGAGGTAGAGATTGTCCCACTGGGTGTGCCAAATTTGTAAACACGAAATTTTCCTGAAACGAAAGAGACAAGAACAACATGCACAAAATAATATTTTGTATTTGATGATTTTTTAGGGTTACAATCTCTAATTTGATCCTCTGACTCGATCTCCGTAAGGTGTGTATTTGTGGATGTGCAATTGATCCAAAGGGCCGTTGGGCTTGATCTAAGGATGAACGTTCTTCAAGGGTCGTGGGCTTGATCTTGAAAGTGGATTTGAGCGAATCTTCAAGGAGCTGTTGGGGCTTGATCTTGAGGATGAGCGTTTCTTCAATGACTGTTGAGGCTTGATCTTGAATAACGGTGATGAACGGATCTTCTAGGGCTTTTGGGCTTGATCTTGAAGAACAGTGATGAACAGATCTTCAAGGGCTTTTGGGCTTGATCTTGAAGATGGATGATTGTTGATCCAAAGGCTGTCGGGGCTTGATCTTGGAAGAACGATGAACGAAGAAAGTTTTCTTCAAGGGCCGTCGGGGCTTGATCTTGAAGGTGGATGATTGTTGATCCTAGGGCCGTCAGGGCTTGATCTTGGAAGAACGATGAACGAAGAACGCTTTCTTCAAGGGCCGTCGGGGCTTGATCTTGAAGGTGGATGATTGTTAATCCAAGGGTCATCGGGGCTTGATCTTGGAAGAACGATGAACGAAGAACGCTTTCTTCAAGGGCCGTTGGGGCTTGATCTTGAAGAACGATGAACGAAGAACGAAGAAGGCTTTCTTGATTCTTCGGGAACCTGGACGCTTGAGAGCTTCGGAGTTTCAGAGTTTCAGAGCTTCAAGGTGTTATATGAAAATTGGTCCCTTCAAATGAATGAAATTGGCTTCTATTTATAGAATTTTCCAAGGCCTAATTTTGAATATAATATTCCAGATGAAATAAGTCATTTCTGCCAGGTGTTGACACGTGTCCTATTTGATGACTTTTCCAACTTATTTCGATTTTTTGTTTAGACATACGCTACGTGTAAAATTTATGTAATACATGAGCGTCGAAACTTTGATTTATCGGTCAACATTTATTTACTGAAATTTCGATGTCTACACATTACTCATGCATGGTTGATGTGCTTAGCCGTGCTGGTCGCCTAGTAGAGGCATATCAGTTCGTACAAAGAATGCCAATGGAACCTACTCCCGGTGCTTGGGGAGCATTGCTTGGCGCGTGCAGAGTTCATAAAAATGTAGACTTAGCAAAAATTGCAGCTAACAAGCTCTTCGAGATTGAACCAGATAACCGTGGCAACTATGTGCTGTTGTCCAACATTTTAGTCACCGCCAAGCGATGGGAAGAAGCTTCAGAAACTAGGAAGTTAATGAGAGACGGAGGAATCACAAAAACACCGGGTTGTTCTTGGGTTCAGCTGAAGAATAGAGTCTACTCTTTTGTTACCGGTGATAGGAGTAACGAGCGAAGCGCGGAGATATACAAGTTTCTGATTGACATGGGTGAGAAGATGAGATTGGCAGGGCATGTCCCCAACACTGATTTTGTTCTGCAAGATGTGGATCGAGAGGAGAAAGTGGGGATCCCTTGCAACCACAGTGAGAAAATTGCTGTTGCGTTTGGGATACTCAATTTGAATGGCGAATCGACGATTCGGGTATTTAAGAATTTAAGGATACTTGGGGACTGCCGTAATGCCATCAAGTTCATGGCCAAGATTGTTGGTTTGCAGATTATTGTTAGAGATTCCTTGAGGTTTCACCATTTCAAAAATGGAGATTGTTCTTGTAGAAATTTTGGTGATTTTCGGTATCCAAGTTATTGAATGATGTGGCAAGATGCTTGGAACTGAAGTGGCTAAGTGTATTTACTCAAGCCCTTGAGCACATATCAAGGGGTCTCGCGATGGTTAGAGCATTGCTCGAGAGGCCTCAAACATTGTCCGAGGGAGTTTGGAGAGACTATATTTCTAAATCTTGAATAAAACAAGAGTTTCTAAATTTGTGAAAGTACACCCAAATCACATTTATAGCTATAATTAGAAGTACAAATTCATTAAAACCACACACTTGATCAAGCTCGAGAGCAACTTCGTAAAATAAGTAACCACTATTATAGCGTCTAATGACAATGATACAACATAATGTAATTAAACATACTATATAATTATAGGGAAAACTTGATATAAGTCCAATTTTTTTAGCCAATAGTAGGAATAGTCCAATTTATTAAAATAAGTCCAATTTCTTAAATTTAATTATTTAATTATCAATAATTCTCTATTCAATGATAAGATTTATTATAAAAATCAAATTTCTTCCTAATTATCTCTTTGATTATTTCTTTTTATTTTTAATTTTTGTTATTTATTGTTCTTCCTCCTGCTTTAAACCCCATTTATAGATTTTATTTTTAATTTTTATAATCAACCTATATCACAGGTTAATTATTTTTATGTATCTATATCACAGGATAACAAAGTGTCGTAGTGGTCCTCACACTGGACAGTGATAGTATTAGTAGTAACGTTAACGAGTTTATCGTTATTGTGACGTTTTAATTTGTTTTTCCAGTTACCATCTATATTTTGGGGTCTGATTTTACAAGTTACCAGATTAGAAATGGAAAAGCGGAAATTCATTTTGTTTAGCACTTAGCAGTGGGATGGCAAATGGACCAACCAATCATTCCTGAAAAAAACCCAGCGGCTGAAGATATCGAGTGTGTGCCTGTTGGTTCTTTCCTCTCTCTCTCTCTCTCTCTCTCCGTTTCTAGTTCGTCTCTCGTTTTTTGATTGATTCGTGTTAAAATTATCCGGTCCATCTTATCCGTGTTCATCCTGATAAAACACTCTGTTATCCATTTGTTTATCTTCATTTGATGAGAATTTAGCCAACCCAGAATTTTGATTCTTGTTATCTGTGGCAGAAAGTTTCAAACTTTGTAGCATATTTTTAGCTCTGTCAATGGCGGTTCTTGTAAATTATGTGTCTCCAATTGCACACCCATTGCCAGAAACCACCAGAAAAACTTGTGGGTTCTTCTCCCACATCAGGAATCTCCAACCCCTTTCCCTTAGCAAGGGATTTTCCAGAGTTTTGGCGGCTTCCCAGATCACGATTTCTCCGAAAGACACCGTTTTCGCCTTGCCCAACTGGAGGCATGCCAAGAATGACAGAAGAAGTAAGGAGCTCAGACTCATTGATGCCTTTGTGCATTTGGAGTCTATGGTGGGGAAGGACCAGAAGCCTGATGTGGCTCAGGCAACTCAGCTCTTGTATGACCTCTGCAAAGCGAATAAGATGCGAAAGGCGGTCAGAGTCATCGAAATGATGGTTGTTTCCGGCATTATACCTGATGCAGCTTCTTATACTTTCTTGGTGAATTACTTGTGTAAAAGAGGGAACATTGGGTATGCAATGCAGCTGGTAGAGAAGATGGAGGAGTACGGATATCCGACGAATACTGTGACCTACAATTCGCTCGTCAGAGGGCTTTGCGTTCGTGGAAACTTGAATCAGAGCTTGCAGCTTTTGGATAGACTGATACAGAAGGGTCTGGTTCCGAATGTTTATACGTACTCTTTCTTACTTGAAGCTGCTTATAAGGAAAGAGGGGTCAATGAAGCCATGAAGCTCCTGCAGGAGATAATTGCTAAAGGTGGAAAGCCTAATGTGGTCAGTTACAATGTCTTGTTAACTGGTTTGTGCAAGGAAGGTAGGACTGATGAGGCATTTCGGCTCTTTAGGAGTTTGCCTTCGATGGGGTTCGATCCAAATGTTGTGAGCTATAACATCGTACTAAGGAGTTTGTGTCACGAGGGTAGGTGGGAAGAGGCAAATGTGCTTTTGTCTGAGATGGAAGGAGAGGATCGAGCCCCTTCCATAGTTACGTATAACATCTTAATTGGTTCACTTGCACTTCATGGTAGAACTGAACATGCTCTTCAAGTTTTGGACGAAATGCAGAGAGGTCGGTTCAAGCCTACTGCTGCCAGCTACAATCCGATCATTGCTCATCTCTGCAAAGAGGGGAAAGTGGATGGTGCGGTCAAGTGTCTAGACCAAATGGTTCATCGGCGGTGTAATCCTAATGAGGGAACATTCAATGCCATTGCTGTGCTATGTGAGGAAGGTTTGGTGCCAGAGGCATTCTCTATCATTCAAAGCCTCTGCAATAAACAAAAGTGCTCCAGCTACGAGTTGTACAAAAACGTAATCACAAGCTTATGTCGGAAAGGGAACACGTTTCCAGCGTTTCAGATATTGTACGAAATGACCAAGCACGGTTTCACTCCAGATTCTTATACGTATTCATCTCTGATCAGAGGATTGTGTTTGGAGGGTATGCTGGATGAGGCCATGGAGATTTTCAAGGTAATGGAAGAAAACAGCCTTAGGCCTGATACGGACAATTTCAATGCCCTTATACTCGGTTTCTGCAAGTCTCGAAGAACAGACTTGTCCTTCCAGGTTTTTGAGATGATGATAGAGAAAGGGCGTATGCCTAACGAAATGACCTACACCATTCTTGTGGAAGGGATTGCGCACGAAGGAGAACTGGAACTGGCAGCCAGAGTCTTAAAAGAGTTGCACCTGAGACATGTAGTGAGTCCGAATACAGTGGAAAGACTGGTTATGCAGTACGACTTTGAGGATTTACCGGGATAGAAACGAAGGAAAACAAAACGGAAATACTGTGACAGGAGAGAAAAGCAAGCAAGATTATGGCCAAGTCGTCTCTAGGGCCAAGAAGTTTTGGAAACTCAATTCCGGCAGGCTGTTCAATCGTATGGTGTAGATCGATCGATGAGGGAAGAAAGGAAACAATAGGAGATGCATTCCTTATGACCATTGACATATATATTCAGGCTTTGGAACTGGGCAGCATTGAACAAGTTCAAGACAAAGAAGTTTTGCTCTAGACTCTTACTTTATTTACTTGAAGCTAATTATTTTATGAGAGGCTTTAACTCTGGAGAGAACTTGCATTCTTCAGTTTTGTTCCGTAAATTAAGTCTAACAGCTGTTCTGAGATGTGTTTCAAACTACATGTTGGTACCACTTGAAGAACAAAACTCAGAGATCCGTTTCAAACTTTTACTCGTTTAATTTCTTTGCCTCGTAAATAAGCATGATGATGTTTTTTCTGAAGATAGGGTATCGGGTTTTCAAAGGCCTAGGAGACGAGGCGTACGAACGTAAGCACTGCTGCACTGGAGGTGTCAAACAAGTCCCTGTTCATGTCTGTCCAGCATATAATTCAGACTATTAAGTATAAAACCATGTCACAATATCGCCCAAGCAGTCGATCTTCTTGACAAATTTGACCTAAGTTTTGAGATCAACTCAGATCAATCAGATACATGACCAACCTCAACCCTTCCCTCTAAACTGATATCTACAACTTGTAAGCAACCAAACTGAACTAGGTTTTCACAAATCTACAATTTCGGAAAAATCCCTGGCGGCCTTGTCAATAGAACGTATGCGGGATAAAGAAAGCCATCGATTTCTGCTGTGAAAAGCCATTTAAACAATAAATAATGTATTTGTACACGTGTCAAAGTTTTACGTGTCAAAAGTAAACATCCACGGTGAATTGTTGAAATTCAAACCATAAGATTATGCTAGAGATCATTTGATAGCATCTTGTTTTTAGTTTATTTGGAGAGGTCACGTGTTCAAATTTTAAAGAGAGAATGCTTGCAATTTTCTTGTTTGAAATTTTTTATTTACATTTCGTCTCTCTTATTCATCTTGTAATGGGACATAATGGTTTGAACCGTAAATTTTTTAAGTCACTATTTAAATGTCAAATCTACTAAAAATCAACTAACACGGAATTCATTTCGTCATTTAACACTCATCTAATAAATAGATGAACTATATACTTAATACACCCCACATTTGCCTTTTCAATTAAAAATTATCTTAATGCACCCCAGATTTGCTTTTTCAATTAAAAATTATCTTAATACACCCCACATACTTCCCCATAATACCCTTACACTCCACATTCTCAATATACACCTTACATTTTCTACATGTACCCCATATTTTCCATACACCCAACATTTCTCAAATCTGATAAAGCTTTTAATTTGGATAAAAAATGCCGACTAGAATTTTGACAAAAGATGCCGCCTGAGATTTAAAGCATATATAGGTTGTTTTCAATTCCACCATTAAAACCCATATCGTCTGTTTTAATTTTTTATGGTAATTTTAGGTGTTTAATTCTTCATGTAATCCCTGAAAGATGAATACGAACATAGAAGCTTGAAATGCAACAAAAGCAAGAATAAATAATTATTGATGTTGTCAAAATCACTAAAACAAAAAAAAAATGAAGTCTTACCTCATGTGAAGCTTCGGAAATACTGATTTTGTGTTTCATTTGTCAAAAATAATTTTTCTCAATCAACATGTTTGTAGTTTCATTGGTTAGGGTTTTGTTCAACAATAGAGGGTCGGAAGGGTTTTGATAGTTGAAGAAGATAAATAATACATTAAAAGTGATTTGGGGTGTATATAGAAATTATTTATTTATTTTTTAAACCTAATAAGGTCAAAATTGTCATTGCATAGTAGGGTAAATAAGTTATTTAATATTAAATCTCAATCAACATGTCTAAACGAGATGTCGCGTCCTGGAATGTACTTCTAACTGCGTATTTTTCGAACAGAGATAACATAAAGGGTGTAAACTTTACTGGCTATATTTATGGGTGAGCGATATCTTAAAGCCAATTGTAAGGGTTTAAGTAGAAATACTGATGATATTTCCATGATTATTAAATGGCACCCTCCAGATCAGAGTTATGTTAAGCTAAATTTTTTATGGCTCAGTGGCTGGGGACAAGGTTCCCGGGGGGGGGGGGATTTGTCTTAAAGAATCATATTGGGCAACTCATCGGCGGTGGAGCTTTAAATCTTGATGGTGCCACTATTTCTAAATCTTGATAGGGCTCTCAGAGAGGGCCTTCTTTATGCTCAAGGGAAGGGCTATACAAAGATTATGGTAGAAGGAGACTCTAAGTTGGTCATTCAGTCAGTGTTGGACCAGGATATGACACCGTGGAATCTGGTTCCTATTATTGAAGATATCAAGTGGATGGCAACCAAATTTGATTGCATTGATTGGAAACATATTTTTAGAGAGGCTAACTTTGTGGCGGATGCCTTTGATCACCAAGGCCTTCTTATTACTAATTGTCATATTTGGGATCATCCCATATTCCTTCATTTGCTCTTCATGCTCTTCCGTTTGATTATATAGGGAACGGTTGTTCTTGGGGGTTTACCTTTTAATATATATTTTTTCTTGCTTCAAAACAAAAAGGTGTAACTTTAATTTGTAGGATGAGAAGGGTAGATGTTAAATTGGATGGTGCTTCATGGAATGCTGTTATTGGTGGGTGCTTGAATAATGGGCAGACCGAACAGGCGCTGAAAATGCTTGAATAGACGGTGGAGAGAAACTTCAGTACGGCTGCCTCACTTTAGCGTGATGTTTGTGTTTGCGGGACGATGGTCACGCGGTCCAAATGCCTGCACTGAAGTTTTTCTACCAATAGAGGATTGCCAAAGAAACTTAAATGACAAACACCTATCTCGAACCAGGCTTAGAGTGTTAATTCCGGTGACTTGATCAAATATCCGAACCAGGATCTACTTTCCTTCTCAATAAATTTTATCTTATCATGAAATAATAAAATAAAATCAATAAATAATAAACACAACTTTAGCTATAACTTAATTTTTCTTCAATCATCTAACAACCCCAAGTGCTTTCTTTGTTCTGATTTAGGAACTGATAAACTTGTAATCATAAATATTTTTCTTGCAGAGTTACAATCGCAGGTCTCATTGTTTCCCAGCTAAGGCTATAAGCTTCACGTCAACCTTCCGAACACGTTTTGTGATGGTTGATTGAAGGACTAACAAGCACCGCAATGATGATCTACCGAGGTTCTATCCATGTAGTGCTGAAAGTATTTTCTGAACATAGAAGTGTCTTTGATGGTGATTCATTGACGCTTCGTTCAGTGTAGAAACCAGGCTGCTTTGGAGGTGGCAAGGCAACATCACTGCTCAACATCAGAACCACAGATGACATGCTTGGTCTATTCTCAGGTACTCTTTGCACACATAACAGCCCCACATGAAGACACCTTACCACTTCAGATATGTTGCATGAATCACAAAACGTTTTGTCGATCAGTTCTAGTGGTTTATCTTGAATCCATCGTATCCATGCCTTAAAACAAATTGAAACATGTATGATATGTTAGTGGGCTAATATGTAAAAGGGGCTTTGCTGCAGACCTTCTATACTGTTAAATACATGTCATTAGAAGACGTTCTTTGAAGAGCACCGTCTAATTTGCTATTCTTTTTAAAGTAAATATAATCACCTCGCCGGTTAAACTTACATGTCCAAGAAGGTTGTGGTCGTGATCCGGATGACGAAATCCCCTGTTCTTCTTCCTACTCAACATCTCGAGCAATATGACTCCGAAGCTAAACACATCAGATTTCATCGAGAAGATTCCATCTGCTGCATATTCCGAAGACATATAACCACTGCCAGATCAATATGCAGTGACCAGTCAGAAAGAATTTCAAAAGCAGAAAAATGAAAATTATAAACCTCAAAACAAGTCTAAGCATGCTTACTAGGTTCCAACCACTCTGTTTGTGTTGGCCTGACTTTGATCGCCGCCGAATGTTTTAGCCAGGCCAAAGTCTGAAATCTTCGGGTTCATATTATTATCTAGCAGAATATTGCTAGGTTTCAGATCTCGATGAATAATCCTTAATCTAGAGTCTTGGTGAAGATAAAGAAGCCCTCGGGCAACTCCAACGATAATGTGGAAGCACTTAGGCCAGTTGAGCAATTTTTGTCCCTCCTGATCTGAAGAAACTTTAAGCCTGTTATTTCAATGCCACATTGAATCCTAGTATAATAAGGTCGAAAATGAAGGATCGTACCAAAAATATAGAAGTCCAAGCTTTTGTTGGGCATGAATTCATATATTAGAATCTTTTCGTCTTTTTGAATGCAACAACCGAGAAGCTTAACAAGATTGCGATGCTGAAGTCTGGCTATAAGTATAACTTCAGTTTTGAACTCTCTCGTCCCTTGTCCGGAATTCTTTGAAAGCCTCTTTACTGCAATTTCTTTTCCTCCTATCAGTGTACCCTATGGACCATCATTTTGAAAAGACTTGAGTTTTGTATAGCAATGTAGCTAATTTTCGTTGCACAAATTTATGTTACCTTGTACACAGGTCCAAAGCCACCTTCTCCCAGCTTGTTGCAGTTTGAAAAGCCGTTGGTGGCTTTAGCTATGGTGGTCAAGTCAAACAGTGGTAACTCCATGTCTTCCCCGTCTTCTCCAGGGTACTCTTCTCCGCAATCCTTTGTTCTGAGTCCTGAAATAGTAGAATATTGTCAGCATGGATAAAAAGATGTGAACAGTTAGCTACACTATTGAAATTAAATACTACCTTATCAAATGCATTTTTAATGTGTCCAAAAATGCTTACCTTCATTTTTGAGTTTCTTCTTCCGGATGTACAATATTATTCCAACTATTAGCATTCCCATGAGAAAAACTGCAGAGCTGAGGAGAATTGCAAGTAGCTGTCTCTTGTTGAAATTGCTCTTTTTCTTAACATGATCTGAAATATCTGTATTGAAACAAACCTTTCATGGGATCTCGTATTGTTGCAGTAACTGTGATTCTAACACTAACTTATTTAAACCCTACTTTGCATAGCTGCTGCAGATAAAGGTATAAGATGCACTACTACCCTGTAACCCTTTAAACCTCCCCCCACCAAAATTGGAAAAAAAACTCAGTTTCCATTAACCTCAAGAGTCATAATGTTATTTGCTATAGAAAGGAAAACATAACAAGTCTGGGGGATACCTAGTTCTGATGCTGCCATCCGTATAGAGATCCTGACCGAGAGTGAATTCTCTTATGTCAATGACGTTATCAAACCAAAGCAAGCAGCCAGTTCCTCCCTCCCTGACATCTAGATTTGTATACGCCGTACATGAGCAGTTTCCCAGACATAATCCCTTGCATTGCTCGAGGCTCATGCTTTTATCATACCAAGACGAAGATGTGTCTGGCAATTTAACCCCACTGTACGTTAGGAAGCCATCACCATGGCTGCAGGCCAATGGAGTCATACGAACACACCCATCAGACCAATTTCCCGAATTCCAATCTTGTGGAGATTTTGGTACAAATCCCTTCAGGCATACACATATGGGAGAGTTATTGATTTTGCAAATAGTATATGCACCACACAAGGCGTAACTTTCACACCGATCTTCTTGGAGTGTAGAGGCAAATTCCCAACTATGTGTTTGATACTCCCATGTGAACAGCAGCGAAACGCCTAATGGGCTCAATACTAATCTCTGGAACACCGACCTGTTTAGGAGCCTAAACTGACAGTAGACTTCATCCTTGTTCCACACAAATTCAATCCTAGATATTGGGTTTGGTTGTCCAGATGAAAATCCTGTTAAATGAAGACCATTCCATGACCCTCCTCTACCAACTTTCTTAGCTCTTTTCATAACAAAAAGTTGTGGTAAGCCACGATAATCAATTCGTGCCGAAAACTCTCCTGGAGCAGGATCTTCTGTGCTCTTCCAAGACGAGAGATACCTCTCTAAACCGGTAACCAAGTCCCAACCAAGCTTCATTTCCGGTAGGTATGTGTCACAAGGATAATCAAAACTCTGCCACAAGAAGTTATCCGGGTTAGTTTCGTTCCCATCTTGCACCACAAGATTTCCAGAATCCAAGAGTTGCGATACTGGATTCCCGGCGATTCTTGATGAATTCGATGACCACACAATCTTGTTTGAGCTATTGACAAGGAGGACTAGAACTCCTTGCTCGGTGAGCATCAAAAGTCCTGAAGAATCACCAAGTGGTGTTTCTCTGTTGGCTACCCACACAACTGCATCAGTAGAATCAGTGTACCATATTCCCACGTACCGGCTTTTCGATTTACCAGGGCTGAAGAATCCCAGTTCATAGCTTCCACCTACTGAAACCAGAGTTTCGCCATCTCTTATATATCCACTCGGAGTGATTGTTGTGCCCAGTGCAGTTGCAGCTGAGATTCGTAGGAGGGAGAATAAGAAGAACAAGCACATATAAAAGCTTCTCAAGGCTTGCATCGTTGTTCTGAGACTGTATACTTTATCCAAAGAAATTAATATAAAAATTATGCAGAGAAGATGGACTGTTCGCCCAAAGAAAAATCAAAGTAAATTGAAAGACTTGGTTTTCTTAATTGAGCCAACAACTTAGACTCAACTAAGTTGACTGCTAACTGTAAAATTGACTGCTAACTGTAAAATTGACTGCATCTCCAATGGTGGATTGCCAAATAAATTCATATGACAAATACCTCTCTCCCAGCTGTCATGAAACAATAATTCACTTAGCTAAATTACAAAAAAACCTACATAACTTATGGATCGAAGTCGAACTATAATCTTATACCTTATGTTTTAAATATTACAATTTATAAATCCGTTGCAATGTTAGATATCCGTTAAATTTTCTATTAATTTGGCTGTTAAATAATAACGTAGCATGAGCAGGATCACTTATCTCCAACAAGAATAAAAAATTAATATATTTTTTATTTTTATTTAACAATTAAATTAATTATAAAAATATCATTATTTATTAATAAATTATTTATTTTTTATTTAACAATTAAATTAATTCTAAAAAAATCATTGATTAAACTCTCTTCTTCCTCACTCACGCACTCTCTGCTGGAGACTGACGCTGCATGAGGAGGCGGATATTAAATTAATAAAAAAATTAACGAATGTTTGACATTGCAAAGAATTCATAAGTTGAGGTATGAGATTGTAATGTTTAAAACATAAGGTATGAGATTGTGGTTTCGACCCTAAGGTAGTTTTTTGTAATTTACGCATTTACTTATTATCAATTAGCGGATATTATAGAATGAATCGGCTCATAAATCTCATGACTGTTATATTCTTAGTCGTCTAATTTTAAAGGAAAAATACCGGGAAATAGGACAATTTCTTAAACGTGGGATAGAAATAGAACATTTCGAATATGTACAAAGCATGCACAACATGGAGCTCCTGCAGGAGATAAATGCTAAAGATGGAAAGCCTAATTTGGTCAGTTACAATGTCTTGTTAACTGGTTTGTGCAAGGAAGGTAGGACTGATGAGGCATTTCGGTTCTTTAGGAGTTTGCCTTCGATGGGGTTCGATCCAAATGTTGTGAGCTATAACATCGTATTGAGGAGTTTATGTCACGAGGGTAGGTGGGAAGAGGCAAATGTGCTTCCGTCTGAGACGGAAGGTGAGGATCGAGCCCCTTCCATAGTTACGTTTAACATCTTAATTGGTTCACTTGCACTTCATGGTAGAACTTAACATGATCGTCAAGTTTTGGACGAAATGCAGAGAGGTCGGTTCAAGCCTACCGCTGCCAGCTACAATCCGATCATTGCTCATCTCTGCAAAGAGGGGAAAGTGGATGGTGCGGTTAAGTGTCTAGACCAAATGGTTCATCGGCGGTGTAATCCTAATGAAGGAACATTCAGTGCCATTGCTGTGCTCTGCGAGGAAGGTTTGGTGCCAGAGGCATTCTCTATCATTCAAAGCCTCTGCAATAAACAAAAATGCTCCCGCTACGAGTCGTTCCAGGTTTTTGAGATGATGATCGAGAAAGGGCGTATGCCTAACGAAATGACCTACACCATTCTTGTGGAAGGGATTGCGCACGAAGGAGAACTGGAACTGGCAGCCAGAGTCTTAAAAGAGTTGCACCTGAGACACGTAGTGAGTCCGAATACAGTGGAAAGACTGGTTATGCAGTATGACTTTGAGGATTTACCGGGATAGGAGCGAGGGAAAACAAAACGGAAATACTGTGACAGGCGAGAAAAGCAAGCAAGATTATGGCCAAGTCGTTTCTAGGGCCAAGTTTGGGAACTCAGTTCCGGCAGGCTGTTCAATCGTTTGGTGTAGATCGATCTGTTCAATCATTTGGTGTAGATCGATCGATGAGGGAAGAAAGGAAAACGATAGGAGATGCATTCCTTATGACCATTGACATATATATTCAGGCTTTGGAACTGGGCAGCATTGAACAAGTTCAAGACAAAGAAGTTTTGCTCTAGACTCTTACTTTATTTACTTTCACTCTGGAGAGAACTTGCATTCTTCAGTTTTGTTCTGTAAATTAAGTCTAACAGCTGTTCTGAGATCCGTTTCAATCTCCATGTTGGTACCACTTGAAGAACAAAACTCAGACATCTGTTTCAAACTTTTACTCGTTTAATTTCTTTGCGCCGTAAATAAGCATGATTATGTTTTTTCCGAAGATAGGGCGGGTTTTCATTTGTTGAAACTCAGTGCGGTCGCAATATCGACCAAGCGGTCGATATTCTTGACCTAAGTTCGAGATCAACTCGGATCAATCAGATACATGACCAACCCTAACCTGATACCTACAACTTGTAGAGTAGGTAACCAAACTGAACTAGGTTTTCACAAATCTACAATTTCGGAAAAATCCCTGGCGGGCTTGTCAATAGAATGTATGCCGGATAAAGAAAACCATCGATTTCTGCTGTGAAAAGTTGGACAAGTAAGGAGCAGACAACGAAATGGTGATAGCGGTGAATCGTAACAAAAGAAATCCTCTGTGAGACAAAGATACTAATAGCTAAGACTTCCTATGCAGCATGACACTAGAAACCATAAACACCCGATACAGTGAAGAAACCAGGATCAAGAAATCTGCAGATGGTAGACACGTACATGTTCTGGTTCCGCGGGTTGGCCAATGAATCAAAGCTTCCGATGGATCTTGCTTATGTGGTCTAGACACTAAACTAGCACATTTGCCTGGTTAGTCAAAAACCTAAGGCCTAATGTGGTGCCACGAAGTGCACCAGATGCCTAAAAGCTCTAAACTTTGACATCTATCACGATCCGAGATCCCCATTGCATCATAACAACACAATCAAATTAAAGAAAACATCACAACAAGGAGAATCCATAGTAATTTAACCAAATCCATACTTAATTATGTGATTAGGAGCAGAATAAACTCTGTCATAAAGCATTTAATTTAACATCCAAATAGTTATAACCCCAAAACTACGAAAACCGAAATACAGAGAAATAAACCCTCACGAGCAGCCACCAGTCTGCAAAACCTCACATGGGCAGCTCAGGCCATGAGAAGGGGGCGATGCGGACGCCGGAGCAAAAGCTGCCTACTTGGATCTCTGCCTCATCTTTCGGCGCTTCCTCTTCAGCCTCCTCATGCGCTTCTTCTTCCACTGCAAACAACGACGTCACAAAAAGCGACACAGGTTTAATCACAACCACCGCACACAATTTATTCAACCATCAGCAGCAGATTCGAAACAGTTTTTCGATTCGATCCCGCTGACTTTAAAGTTTAAAGCACGGAGATTTAAGAAGAGGGTTTTGAAGAATTACCTTGGCCCTCATGTCGGATGGGAAAGGCTGCTGCTGCGTTACCAGAACGATGGCCGCGACGTCTCCAGAAGAATACCGCAGGGTTTTTGACGACTCTGAACCCTAATATCTCTGCTGCTTCTTCTATATATGCACATGGGCCTGCCAGAAAATGCTTGAAGTAGTGTTTAATCTTAGGCCCAAAATGGAAAAAGCCCGGTAACCAAATAACCCCAATTTTTTTATTTAATTTTTTGTTTGGTTGCCGAGAAAACTAATAGGAAAGTGAGCGAGAAAACCAATCAGTCAATTTTCAGTGGTGAGTCTGAGAAAATGGAAAGCCAGAAAACCGAGCTGGAGTCATCAGAGGAGAAGAGTGTCACTGTCGACCAGAACGAGAACGCGAAGAACAGATTACAGTCGACGGAGGCGCTGGCAAAGGCGCTTTCGTCGACGCTCACCACCGTCATCAAAGACTTCGATTCCAAAGCTCAGCAGACCTTCGCCAGCCAGGACCACCTCTCTCAGTCGCTCGATCGCCTCACCCGCGGTAAAAAAAAAGTTAAAAAAAAATTCCTCTTTGTTCTTTTGAAATTTTGAATTTTGCTTGTAATTTTGATATTTAGTGTTGTTTTGGTTTTGTGGGCAGAGCTGGATAAGTTGTTGGACGATGCTCCGTTTCTGTTCATCATGCAACACGCGGCGAAGATTTCCGCCGTTAGGAAGAGAGTTTCGTCGTTGAATTCGGTTCTCAAGTCCGTACAGCGCCGGCTTGATAACATTGACAGAATGCTGTTTGTTGGCGTCCGAATCCAGCATCAGCAGCAACAACATGGTATTTACTAAAACTAAGGTTCTTTTTATGTTGTTTTTGCCACTTTTCGAGACATTTCGATTTCGTTATGATGAGATAATCGAGTGGTAATGAAAGTGGAAAGAGTGACTTGTGTGATCAAGCTACTGTAAGATAGATTTCCATGGATAGTTAGATGAGAAAAAGTTGATTGCTTTTAATCCAGGTTCACATTACGATTAGTACACCTCCGCAGATGCGAAGATTTATGCGGAACCCCAACTTCCAAACATATCGAAGCTAGTTGATTTTGACATAGGTCATGGAAGTTACTAGTCAAGAAGAACGAAAGAAACATAGGTCGTACGAGTCTATGCTTCTCTCAATTTATTGTTCGTCAACTAAGGGTGATTGGGATAAATTGTGCTATTTTCTGTTAGCTATTTGCAAGACATGGGCGCATATCTTGTTAGAATAAAAATTTTAAATTCTTGTTTTCTCGCTTTCAAGTCTTAATATGTCTAACCAGTTTAAAGGCCAGGCGCCTAACAACGCTCTCACCTTTACATTACCGATTTTTTTGTAAACTTGTGGTTTAAGTAGTTATGTGTTTGGATGAGTGTTTGCAGAACTCTTTTGTTTGCCCTTATGGATATTTGGTTTTTGAACGGATAAGTTTGTATGAAACTATCAGTTCGAATATCTAATGGTATATATAGGTGGTGATCCACACACCCATTTTTATCTCTCACACACCCCTCTCAAGAATATCAAATGTTATATATAGGTGGTGATATCCACTCATCCATTTTTATCTCTCACACACCCCTCTCAATTTCCTTCAGTCAAATCGAATGAATTCAAAAAGATCAATAGACAAATTTAACAGGGGTGTTGGGTGTGTGAATAGCACTACCCTATATATAACTTTTGAACTATTGTGTATCCTTGCTCTACATATGGTTGTGTCTGAAAATTTTGAATTTAATGTGCAGATAAGACGGCCACAGGACATTCAGGACTGCCGTAATATAGTTGTGTGTCTCGAAAGGTACTACACATTTTTTCTCTCTTTTTTGGAAAAGGATAACTATAACTTCTTTGATTGCATACCACGATTCATCAATATGTTATTGGTAAACATTGGAAATTTTGGAAAAGGATAACTATAACTTCTTTGATTGCATACCACGGTTCATCAATGTGTTATTGGTAAACATTGGAACGGAGTAACATTGACAAATATATTGCATTGACTGCTGGGATGGTAGGCTCAAACTAAAACAATGTAATGCTGGATTCATTTATACGTCGATTCATGCACATACAGTTGACCATTTTAGTTATTTTGAAGTTCATTAGACCCAACGGAGTACAATTCTTATTGTCTTGCTGTTTTTGTAAAGTTTTTAGATGACTTTATGTAGTTCTTATACTTGAACTTCAAAGTAATAATCTGTAAATCAGCAACAGTAAATCTTAATCTTTTACCAGCTAAAAAAAACGAGAACACACAAGGCAGTTGCACGATGGAAAATGAATAAGTCATTCATGTAATTTAGTTAAAGATTAGTTTGCTGTTGTTTTTGTAGGCTTGTTGACTTATAAAGAAAGCAGTGCACACACATTGTAATTGTTATCTCACTCAGTATATGAAGTACTGACTGTTTTATGGTTTTTTCTTGTTATCTGCGGAAAGATAAAGCTTAATAATGGGACTGCACGGGACAACCTTAAGAGTTTTGCCTCCGCTGACTACTCACTGATAATTTCACCATCTTGGGAGGAAGCTGGATGAGGTGAGTCTCAGTAGCCACATGGATGTTCTATCATTCGCGGAACATACACGGTACCTGAAAGTGAAGATTGAGATTGGAACTGCGGTATGAAGGTGATTATTTTGATTATGGGCTGTGACTAGGTTTCAATAGGTTGAATGGTGGTTGTTTGGATACGTAGTAATGGAAACTAAGTTGACTCCGTCCCCTCTATTTTGATTTCGATTTAGAGATGGGATGTGTTTTCTTCATTTGTTGAATCCTAGCTCCAAAAAGAAAAAAATTTCGTGGTTGTGTTTGAGTTCTTTGATCCAAACTTTTCCACTTACAATTTTTGTTATGCTTGCCGGTATTTTTTAATACAGTTGATCGTTTACGGAGAGAACGACATTACTACGTACAAGCAACGCCAAAAGAAATCACGTAAGGTAAAAACATATATAGCATCCTTTTTAATTGAAAACGCACAAGAACATTGCCAATTAATTAGCCATCGTATATTTGATTCGGAGACGCATATGCAAGCAGCTCCTGGTTGGTTTCAATTAAGGCCATGTCTTCTTTCGATACCAAGTGTGCATCAATGCCAATGCCGGCACTCGCATCCGTCAATATGACCATGTTTTTAATCCCTCCAAGTCCTGGGAGACGTATGCAGGACGGCATTCCCCATCCAAAATCGACTGAGTAGAACGGAAACCTGCACAATGTGCATTTAAGTATACATGAATGAATGAATACCCCAAAATTTCTAACACTTTTGAAAGATTTAAGAGAGCGGCATGTTTAAAATGTTTTAAGAATGATTGAAGGTGTTTTTTTGATGATTTTTTTTTTGGTTCTAAAAGCACTTCAAGTATTATTTTTTTTAGGATTGAGTTGCATTTTTACGAATGATTGGTTCCAAAAGTATTTTCATCCAAAGCATTTTTAGTCATTTACTCCATCTGAATTTTGAGCGAATTCTTCAAAATCTTAAGAGGGAAATGAATGATTGTTTTTTTTTTTTTAAGCTCAAATGGAAAGGAAAGATTACATATCACAAAAAAAGAGTCATTTACCCCATCTATATCTGCAACTAGCAACTGACTACAAGAAAGAGGAGCTTGCTTAAAAAAGACTGGACCTAAACTGCATGACAACCCCAAACAAGTCAAATCATCAGCAACAAAATTCCTTTCATTGAAATATGTCGAATTTCATAAGACCAACTTTGGTGCATAAGAGCACGACAATTCAATACCAAACTTTCCAAAGTGTGATTAATACTTTTGCATTTAAAATCAATTGTATTGCAAGTGCAAAATATGTTTCCACCATAATCTTCTTAATTTCATTATTCCACGCAAGTTGCAATCCAATAAAAACACCCTAAACTTCAATACATAAAATCTCACCTCAACTAAAATTAGCACAAAAATCAGAGACTCATACCCCTGAAGAGTTTGTAAGGACACCACCAACACCAATGAAATTGGCCACACCCTTGCAACACCTATCAACATTAAGCTTTACCCAACCTTTAGAAGGAGGTTCCCAATGAAGAAAAGCATGTGTTCGAAGGGGCTTTATGGAGGAAATCATAGGCGATTCGCCTACGTATTCGCCTAAAGTCAATCTTTCAAGTAGGCAATAATAACTAATTTGGGATCATTAGACCTACTTCAACCCTTGGAATAAAACTCAAATTTTAGGTTTTAAACTTACCCTAACTTGCTCCAACCTTTGGGACAAATATGAGTTTTAACCTTTAGGACAAATTTAGCCCAGAATTCCCCCTGAATTAGTGGGGCTGGTAAAATCTTGATCAAAAAATACTTTTGTTTTTCCAATGACACAAGAGCCAGCAAGTTATACAAAAAATAAGTCTCCATTTCAAATAGTCCGAGAATAGTATTTTGGAAGAGAAATTATTTTGGAAAACCAATCATTAGTACATCATATATGTATCAATAAAAAATTGATTAGGAACAGGGAAACTTCTCCAAACCTTAGCAGCAAAGAAACAATCTCTAAAGACATGAATAATTGATTTAAACGCACCACCACACATGTTGCATGAAGAACCCGTAGCCAACCCCCGTCTAGCTCGTTTATTGTCGATAATTTGTCTAGCAACAAAAGCCAAAGAAAAGAGAGTACTTTAGGAGGAATATACAACTCCCAGATAAAGCTTCATCACCACTTAATGTCCATATTTGCACCTAAGTCCAACACATAGGCAGACTTCATAGTAAAGTTACCGTCAGTAGTTGGTCAGCCGCCAATACTATCCACACAAATTTTGATAAAACAAAATACCATCCACAAAAAGATTAACAATTTTATCCACAATTAATTTAGGAAGAAAATGGATCAAACGTTTTATATTCTAATTTCCACCTTAGCAAAAATCAACCATAGACGACATAAGCATAGTTCGCGAAGGTCGTTGAAGAGAAAATTTTAGAAGAAGCCCACAATTTGACCAATAATCAATCCAAACTTTAATATTCATACCATATTCGATACCCTAAACTAAACCTTTCTTCAGCAATTGAGCACCATCGATGAATGATTTGTTAAAACTTAAAATGTACTATGAAATCCTTCAAAAAAGTGTAAGCTTTCGCATATAATAATATATAGATGAGAGACATAGTTAATTTTTCTCACATAAATACACGTTGTTCGCGTCAGGAATTTCCGTCGGGGAAGTTTCCGGGCCGACGAGCACACAGCTCCCCTGGAGGTTGGCGCCGGTTGAGGGCTGCTGTCGGGCTTCTGCTTCACTGTCGGGCTTTGTCGGGCAAGTCTCGTCGGGCAAGACTCTTCGTGCAAGGCTCGTCGGGTAAGGCTAAAAGAGAAGGACAGAGTTAACTTTGAGAGGAGCCTTTGTGGGGCCTTAGGTGTAGGCCTTGAGGCTCACAATCAAGGTTATCTTTTAGGTGCTCAGGCGTGCCACTGCCATCTTCAGCATGGCAGATGTAAAATGGATGTCGAGTTTTAGTTGTATATATGTATATATCCGAGAAACCGTGTTAGTTATAACAGGTGCCTTCGTGGGGGCCTTAGGTGTAGGCCTTGAGGCTTCCCATAAATAACTAAACCAGTGCTCGAACACATCATATTTGTTCTTGTGATTGCCGGAGTTTTCTAACTATTATACTTCTGATTACCCGAGTCTAAGAAGTAGAATGAACCCAAATAGGTGCCTTTGTGGGGCCTTAGGTGTAGGCCTTGAGGCTTCCTATCAGAGTTCATTCTTATACTTAGACTATCTAGATCGCAGAACGGAATGAATCCAAATGGATGCCTTTGTGGGGCCTTAGGTGTAGGCCTTAAGGCTTTCCATCAGAATCCACTCCATGCTCAAGCGTTCTATGGTAATCATAACATAATAGAAACAAAATTAGAGGGTAGGTCGATTACTTGCGCCCCAAGTAACTTCGAACTTCTCGTTTATCAAGGACTGTCGTGGATGGGTTAAGTCCACATAAGGTTCTTTTTTATGCCTTGAGGCCAAGGACTTTTAACTGATCAGATTTACATGCCCGAGGGCTTAGGACTTGGATCTGGTTTGAACACTGAAGATATATTCAAATCGGATTCAAGTATTGAGAAAGCCTTTTAATAGTCATATTGCTAGAAATAACTTGCATATAACTGGAAGTATACAACATATTGTTAGGCTTAATGAATGAAAAGACAGAAACAAAGCAAAGAAGGTCGGGCAAGGTTAAACCTTATCGGGTAAGGCTGCTCGTCTTGTAAGTTCCTATCTTTGTAGTTTTGTCAAAGGTCTGAAAGCTTAGAGGGATAGAGAGAGAGATTACAAAAGATGAATCGATACTACAACAAGGTTGAACAAGGTAGCAGAGCTATTACAAAGGTTTGGAGGGAGGGTTATCCCGCGAGGGATGAAGGCTTGTCCCGAGAGGGATGAAGGCTGACTACAGCTTCGTTTTGAAGGCAAATCTGGCTTTGAGCAGAGTTTGTGCTTGCATTTGTTTGTTTGATTGAGTGTCCCTATTCCTGGTTTTTCTTTCTTCTTATATAGACAACTCGGCTTGGCCTTCTGTAGCAGCAGCCTTGCCCGAATGCGATTTGAGGGTGATGACTCATCAGCTATTTTACATGTAATGCCACCATAAAGTGCTTTATGGGCTGTGTAGCTGATCAGTCTACACCACTTGGCCTTTGGGTAGGTAAGCAAGTGGTCTTCATGAGCTGCACCAAGTCAGAAAAGGCCTTTTTCTGCCTTCTGGGCTTTGACTGGGCTCTGGCTATCTTTCCCTTTGGGCCTCCTTTCGGGCCAGCTCCTTCCTTGAGCCCAAAGTTCAAGTTTTGATCCAAACACACGTGTTATAATTTATTTACTTTTTAAAAAAAAGAAATACGTGTTATAATTTAAATAAAAGAACTTTAACGAAAAGCTCTCAATACTATTCACTTTAACGAAAAACCACATTTTTACACTAAAAAGTCAATCCTGATACTATTCACTTTACCCTTTATTTTGTCTTTATCATTAAAATTCAAAGTTTTCAAATCATTTTCATTAGTTTTCCTTTTAAATAAATGTGTAATGGTTTTTTTCGTAGTCTAAAAAATTGCTTTGAAAATAGGTTCTCCCAAGATGCAAGCCTGCACGTGAAATTCGGTTGGGCCTTAAATATAAGAAGCCCGCGCTGGAAAAAAGAACAATTAAATTGACAAAAATGCAAAACCCTAATCTGAGAGCCTATAAAAGCACGGCCTCTTGCTACGCTTCTCCATCTTCTCCTCTGTATTTTTTGTGAGTTTTTCTTTGTTTTCGATTAGGTTGAATGATAGAACAATTACAATAGCATATCAGATAAATTAGGGTTGATTAAGAAATAGTGAGGAAAGTGATGAGAAGCTTTGTCGCCCCAGTCTTACCCGCATCAACATATTTGATGCTTCCTGGTGATTGACTCTCTTTCTGATTCCTCCTCCTTTTCGTTTCTTTTTAATATTTTTTTGGTGCAATAAGTCCGGAAGAGGCAAATTGGGGGAGGTGTGATGATGATTATCCATTGAATCATCCTGAATAATCATATTCTGATGACTAATTATCAATCAAAATTACATGCACTACCATCTGATCTCTCCCTAAATCCTCCACCTTCAAATTCCACCATAAATAATTCTTTTTTTTATTTTTATATTAACTCATGTTTTTGTTTAAATAATTGTAATGTAATTTTGCCCATTGGTATCTGATGTGCAGACTAAAAAATGTGGCTGGGCATTTCGTAAGAACTTGGGCAAAATCGATTTCCAAAAACAGGTCTTGCGACACAGCTTGCTTGCTTAAAAATATAAGCATTCTGTTACTTAATCCCTGCTTACAATTATTTGCTTTTAATTAATTTTATAGTTTTGTATGCCTTGCAATGTCTTGGATTCAAGAATCTGTTTTGCAAAAATTTAATTTATTGATAAGATATATGGCCGGGACATTTTAATTGTTAAAACCAAAAATACTGAAAAGCCTGGGACGAAATCAAAGATTTGTATGAGCGGAAGCATCCTCAAACAATAAAGTCATAATTAAAAATCTTAAGAATTTATTGAACAAAACACTAATATATTAAGAGGTGTACTATCCACATATCTCATTTTACTTTTCACACACCCTTTGATAATTTATGTCCGTTGATCTTCTTCAATTCATCCGATCCAATAGTTGAAAATTGAAAACGTGTGTGAGAAATAAAATGGGGTGTGTGGATATCACATCCCTATATTAATCCATAAAATTTTTCATACAACATATTACAATATTTCTCAAATCGTTTTCATGTTTTGAAAGCGTTGCATAACAATATCATTACCAATACCGTTAAATATCTCTTTATATAAAAATAATCATTTTATCATATCTCTTAATTGAAAGCTAAATTCTAAATTGAATGCCAAAAACAAATTAATGAAGTAAAGTTGTATAAAATAGTGGAGTAAAATTCTTGTGTTGAATTTTGATAATTGATTACTTGAACTCCAACTGTTTATATCACTCCAAATTCAATTGAGTTTTGGTTGAATGAAAGGGGAGGAAAAATCTGGAGAAGTTGAGGACTTTAATTGCTTTGTATGGTGGAATGAGTTTTGTGTGTATTAACGATCTAGGGTTAGAAAAACGGGGAGGCACAATTAAATTGTCATCAGGTAGGGCATTTGGGATCCAAAATGGAAGACTAGTTTAGAGCTAATTATTGAAAATTGAAATGCAACCATTTTTTTAAAAAATGAGTGGGGGCATCTGCCCCTAGGCCTATACTAGCTCATTCCTTGCGAATAGCCAAGTTGGCTAGAATAGGTACATATTTGTGGCAATTGAGATGTTTAACCTAGAACCTATGTCGGAATGTAGTCAAATACGTACATGTCAAAAGACGCTCCCTTGACCTATTTACCACAAATTCAGTTCAGTCTTCTAAATTTCCTTAGATCAAAGACCAAGATATAATATGTCGTGTTATGTCATATAATGTGGCATAGAAAGTGAGTGCGAATAACATTTTTTCATTGGATCCCATGATTAACTTGCAGAATCTATGACACAATCTCGAACCAAATGCGTAAAATTCATACCAGAATCTGCTAAGAACATGCAATTTATGCATTATGGAGGTGGAAGAAAATAAGATCGTTTCTCCTCACCCTTGCATGGACATATAAAACGAGCTGCAGCGTCAGAAACAACCTATAAGGACGAGAGAATTATCGTCCCTAGAATCCTTAACACATAAATACAGGAATGGTTGTTACTCGACTTGTAATCCGGTAGCTGTGTTTTAGACTGCATTGTTTCAGAAGGGAGATAAACATTAATCCCTAAACCCAAAAACCGCATCATTTGCCCAGAAACACAGTATCAATGCAGAAAATACACATACACACACATACCATTTGTAGATTCTGTACTCCGCTCTCTCTCCACCTCCGGCATAGACACGGCATTCTCACGAATAGGACGCTAATAGTCGATGATATATAAAATCGCCATGAACCCGTTCGATTAATCCACATTGTCTTGAAACTGTGGCTTGTATAGCATGTGAAGTTGTAAAATTTGAACATGTAGAAACAACAGGGCAGTTCCAAATGACTAGTCGAGGATTACACTTCATGTCACCAGTACATATACATTTCAAGTGTAATAGTGTTTTGAGTCATTTTAAATGCACTTGCAAATGAATAGTGGTACAAACATTGGGCTCTTTTTAACTCTATTACCACTTCCATCCTCTTGCATTGTTTGATGGAGATCTCTGTAAAGTTTGGGAAGTTGTAGAGCATCCTAATCTTGCATAAGCAGACCAAATTCTAAGAGTCAGAGATATGGGTAATCTTTACGTGCTTCAATCGGAGTGCAACATGCGCATCATCATCGCATTCTTCTGGCTCTATAAACCCCTCCATCTTTCCAGAGGTGTCTTCTGGGACAAACACTATGCTGTTTTCAGGTAACTTTCTTTGCAAGAATCGCCGACACAGAATTTGAATTTGGTAAGACGATGATGCTTTGAACTAACATATCTGTCCAAGGCTTCTGCATTTAGGAAGTTGATATGGAGAATGGTTAAATGCCGAAGTGCTCCAAGCTCCTTTATGCTTGCTAGTTGCTATTGATCCCCACAAAGAACCTGAGTCATTAGTTATCATTAACAGTTGCTCCAGATGGATTAACGCGCGCACTAGTACGGCATGAAGTTGTCCAAACGAGACGGGTTTAGGAGAATTGAGGTTGGCCAATTCCCTTATCCCATCAGGCAATTCAGCTATGGGGGTATCCGAAAGGTCCATAACGAGAACTTTCTTTTGCGTTTGATACAGAAGGCAGAGATGTTAAGTTGCGACAATTGCGCAAAAGGAGTGCTTAGTTTTGTCAAGTGAAAAATTGACGAGTATGGAAGGGTTTTGATAGCAGTATTAAGTGCCGTAAACTAATTTCCCATAATGAGGTTCTCTCCACTTTAGACAAGTACTCGTTGTGGATACAAATTTCCGCCTTCTCCTTTTTGGACGAAAATGCACATGCAAACAATTAACATCTAAGGTCAAGGCTAAGAGCCTCACGCACCCATGATGAATGGGGAGGGGGGGCTTTGGCTGAAGAACCTCATATGCCAAAGTTAAAATTTAAGTGAGAAAGTGTTTAGGGAATTTTAGGAGTAGAAAGAACTTAGGTTTTTTGGAGATATGAGGGCTATTTATAGAGGTGTGGCCGATCATATCTGGGGAAAATGGGGACCGGCCACTTATGGTGGTTTTCAGCTTTAATTGCAAGATATTATGTCAAAATAATATCTTCCAATCAATTAGGAAATTAATTAGAAATTTAATCAAGTAATTAGAAAATTAATCAACAAATTTTTGTAATCAATCCTAATTTGAAAGAATAATTGAGGGTCACCTTGTGGGGAGGATTTGATGAGGATTGATGAAATAGGTTTTGAATAAATACCTATTTTGATCACCTTTGACCTTAATTGGGAAGATATTGTCTGCTGTTTGTGTGTGAGAATCTCGGTGTGCCTCGAGGGTAATTTTTTCCTTTTTACCCAAAAGTCCACATGTTGCCTCCATAATTTTCTTGATTATTTTTGGCTCCACAAATGCCCCCAAACCTGCTAGGCTGCTTGCAGGAAAGGGCAACAGGTGTACAAATCTCCAACTTTGATGCAAATTCCCACCTGGACTTGGAATTAGATTCTTCTAAGAAAGGGAAATAAATCATTTCTAAAACCTATTTAAGCCTACCTTAAGTAGGGGGTTAAATCAACTTTGGAGGGTAATTATTTATCCGTACAAGAAAGAGAGAAAACTAGAGGATATTTGTTCCCCCTCCCTTAGCACTCTTTTTTGCTTGCCCGTGCAAAAAACCGTCTTCCATTGATTTCTTTGTCTTCTCTGCGCCGTGCCGATGTAAGAAAAACTGAATTTTTCTTGCCTCTTTCTTAGGTGGTGCTGCCATGGGGCAGCCATGGAGGTGGTGCGGCAGTTGGCTGGCAGGGGCCAGGAGTCAGCTTAGCATAAGCCAAGGAGGTGGTATGGCAATGGCCACTGCTTGTATTGCTCAGCTTAACTGAAACCAAGGGCTGGGTCGGCATAGGTAACGGTTTGGGCTGCCATGTCTGGGCTACTTGCCAAAAATGATGAAACTGCTTGAGCTTGATTTCTTAGTTGTTGTATATGGAGCAACCAAGGATGGAGCTGCCAAGATTGGAGCTGCTGAAGATGAAGTGTCAGATGATCAAACTATTGAGTGCTAAGTAGCTACTACTCATTGACCATTTGATGCTTAGCTAGTATTCAAGTATTCGATCTTTTGAGCTGTGTGGCCTTCTCGCACTGGAGAGCTTACCCAAATGGATGTCGGGAAATTGGTTTATCAACTTGCGCTGGAGTACTTACCCAGATGAGTATAAAGGAATTAGTTTACCCTCTTGCACTAGAGAGCAATTAATTTACCTTCTCACACTAAAGAGCAATTAGTTTAACCTCTCGCATTGGAAAGCAAACCCATATGGGTGTCAGGGAATTGGTTTACCTTCTCGCACTGGAAAGCAGACCCATATGGGTGTTGGGGAATTGGTTTACCGTCTTGCACTACAGAACAATTAGTTTATCCTCTCGTACTGGATAGCATACCCATATGGGTATCGGGGAATTAGTTTACCATCTCACACTAGAGAGCAATTAGTTATCCTCTTGCACTAGAGAGCAGACCCGGATGGGTGTCAGAGAATTAGTTTACCCTCTCGCACTAGAGAGTAATTAGTTTATCTTCTCGCGCTGAAGAGCAGACCTAGATGGGTGTCGGGGAATTAGTTTACCCTCTCGCACTAGAGAGCAATTAGTTTACCTTCTCGCACTGGAGAGCTTACCCAGATGGGTGTTGGGGGATTGGTTTACCCTCTCGCACTGGAGAGCATAGAAGTCGTTGTCGTGAGTGCATTTGAGAAAAGTTGGACTACTGGATAACTAAAATAATTCTCAGCCTGCGAGGTCTCTTTTGGCGATCTGCTTGAGACTTCGAACTTCTTGTAGAACCTGCGTAAGGGTGTAAGCGCATTGAGCTGCTCCTAGAATTATTGCGCCA